AGCCAAGCATGCGTACATCGGCGCCCTGTTCCTGAACTCAAAGGGCGGATGCCAGACCTGGTTGAGCCACCTGGCAACCTCCCACGACGTCGATGTACCGGACTTGAAGGACAAGATCACATGGGAGGAACTAACACGACTGTGGAAGAAGCGGTTCATCGTCGACGACGCGCCGACACTCGCCATCAACCGTCTGTTCACCATGTCACAGGGCAACACTGCAACACGGGACTGGCTTAGGGAGTGGCAGAAGATTGCGGCAGTGCCCAATCTGGACTTGCCATTCATACATCTCAGACGTGAATTCTACAATAGATCATGTGCTGCATTGAGCCAGGCTCTTGGTGATCGCGAGCAGTACTCCACCTTCACCGAAATCATTGACAAGGCGAGGGAAATCATCAAGACCAATAGGTCAGCTGCACACGAGAAGTCAACATGGCAAACGACCTATGTGGAGAAGGTATGAACTGGTCCGCGACAGCAGCACTTCGTTGCAGTCCAGTCGGACAGTGGAGATAACCCAGCAGCCACTCCAGCATCAAGTGACGGAGATCAGGTGGCTGTTGTCCAGCCGCGAAGCAACAACAAGTCCCGCAACAATGGGAAGGCGAAATCCGCATCGCAGACCGGAAATGGACAGCCAGTACAAGTTCCATGGGTCAAGTTCGGCTTGACCGAGGCGGAGTACAAGGTCCGCAGCTGCTACGGCAACTGCTATTGGTGCAACAACACCAAGCACAAGACCTCCCTGTGCCAGGATCAGGGCAAGGAGGATGTGCGACCCCGCCTCAGCTCGGGAAACTGAGCTCCGCGGAAGGTGAGGCGACTCCACCTTCTACTCCGCCAAATTCTGCCGCCCCACTAGCGGCCTCCTGCACATCTGGGGAGAACGAGAATGTCGCAAGTTCTCGTTACACTTACAAGGACTATGCTGTCCACTTGGTTCCACCGCTGGACCAACCGCTCCACGTGCAATAATCTACCGCATGCACAGTTTCCTCACCATCGGCAACCGATTCGGCAGCTTCGTCGCCATCTATCGCCGGGGATTCATCGTCGTGGTCAAGACTTGAGGTGCTCGACCCACTGACGTTCACGGACTTCCAGTGGATGCCCGTTCCCCCGACCGGACGATTGCCGAAACCGCATTGCAATGTGCTCATGGCACAATTGCGGGATTACTTGCACACTGCAGTACCAGCTCCGTTGATGGACGCCGGAGTAGAGGTTGTCGACCTTCACGCTTACATTGCGAAGATCGACCGCGAGTTCAAGACGAAATGGTACGACGACATCGACGCACCATTGTTATATGTACGCATTCAGATCGGAGAGGCGACCTGCAACGCCTTGATCGATTGCGGAGCATCTCACAACTACATCAGCCAGGACTTCATGGTACGCGTCGGCCTTGGCCCACGGGTCCGGAGGAAGGCCCAGCCTACGCAAGTCACTTTGGCAGACGGTCATACGCACAAGTCCATCGACCGGTGCATTGATGTCGTCCCAGTGTACTTTGCCCCTCACTCAAGTGAGGCGGTGTCCTTCGACATTCTGGACACCAAATTYGACATGATCTTGGGCATGTCATTGCTGCGAAGCGAGGATCACCCGGTGAACTTCTTCCACCGCACCGTTCACATTCGTGATCGGAACGGAGTACTAGTTTCATGCACGGTGCCTTTTCCTCATCCTTCGATCAGCTGCCACGTGGTATCTGCCGCAAGCATGCGAGCTTCCATCATCAGATACGACATCGAGGAGATGGGGRTGTGTTTTCTCCACGCCCTCCCGCCCCATGACGCTTCATCGACGGACTCACCTTCGGATCCACGCGTCACCGAGCTTCTCGACGCCTACAGCAACGTGTTCGAAGGCCCGCACGGAGTAGTACCGGATCGACCCATCGGCCACGAGATCATCCTCGAGAACGGGGCCGTACCTCCACACGGTTGCATCTACCGAATGAGCGAGGAGGAGTTAAGTGTGCTTCGGGCACAACTCGACGACCTTCTAGAGAAAGGCTGGATTCGGCCTAGCTCATCGCCATACGGTGCTCCTGTTCTCTTCTTCTGGAAGAAGAACAAGGACCTGCGGTTGTGCATCGATTATCGCAAGCTCAACGCGCAGACGATCAGGAATGCTGGCCCTCTCCCACGCATCGACAATCTTCTCGAGCGACTGGGCGGCGCGAAGTTCTTCTCCAAGCTGGATCTCAAGTCAGGGTACCACCAACTCGAGATTCGCAAGGAGGACCGGTACAAGACCGCGTTTAAGACGCGATATGGGCATTTCGAATGGCTGGTTATGCCATTTGGCCTTACGAATGCCCCGGCCACTTTCCAAGCGGGCTATGACAACGGAGTTCCGACACATGCTGGATCGTTTCGTACTTATCTACCTCGACGACATTCTAGTCTACAGCCGGAGTTTGGAGGAGCATGTGGAACACCTGCGCACCGTTTTGGAACGGCTACGACAAGCCAAGTACAAAGCCAACCGCGATAAGTGCGAATTCGCGCGGCAGGAGCTGGAGTACTTTATCTGACGCCGCAAGGCATCCGTCCGCTCGCGGACAAGATCGAGGCCCTACGAGTATGGCCCGAGCCCACCAACACCACGGACGTTCGTTCATTCATGGGATTGGCGGGTTACTATCAGCGATTCATCAACGGATACTCCAGGATTGCTGCACCTATGACGAGGTTACAGTCGCCAAAGGTGCCATTCGTATTCGATGACGACTCGCGCCGGTCATTCCAAGCACTTGAGACGGCTATGCTCATGGCACCCGTCCTTAGCATCTATGACCCCACCTTGCCGACGAGAGTGACTACGGACGCTTCCGGCTACGGCATTGGGGCA